AGTCAGTTTTCTCTAACCTCTGTTCCTAAGATACTTTAAAATCAACTTTTTATGTTCAACTGAATTTAGTTTCCTGTTGTTTATATTTATCTTCTTTGTACTTGGTAGACATTTTTGATTTGACGACTTAAACATTTATTTTTTATCTCAGAAAAAAACTTGGTCTAGTAAAAGCAATAAATATAAAGACCAAAGAGAGAGAGTGTAGTCTGTGACTTATAATTTCTCTCCAGCTCTTTCAGAAAGGATAAGTGTTTATTTTGTTTGTTTGTTTTTTTAGTCGAAGTCTCACTTTTTCCCTTAGGCTGGAGTGTAGTAGCATGCTCACAAGCACTGCGGTCTTGACCTGCTGGGCTCAGGTGATCCTTCCACCTCAGCCTTCCAAGTAGCTGGGACCACAGGCATGCGCCACCACGCCCGGCTAATTTTTTTTATTTATCATAGAGATGAGGTCTCACCAAGTTGCCCAGGTTGGTCTCAAACCCGTGGGCTCAGGCAATCCTCTTATCTTGGTCTCCCAAAGTGCTGGGATTACAGGTATGAGCCACCGTGCCAGGTCAAGGATAGCTCTTAACTCACTGACAATCTTCTGTTTTGGTATTTTGGGATGCGTTTTTCTCTACTCTGTGTTTTTCCACCCATCTGATCCCATCTGACTTTTATCTTTCAGATATACTCTTTGGGGGATTTCAGGAGGAGAATAATTGAAATGATGTGCTCAGGACTGATGTTCAGATGATGTGTGCCAACTCAAACATTCCAGTTTTTAAAATGTCAGAGTGCTTAAGTACTTATTGGTAGATCCCTACCAACCTGAGTTCCCGTTCAACCTTTTCCCCAACTCCCCCTCTCATACCTCCCAAGCAGCCTCTTGATCCAGAAGCAGAAAAATCAATGCAAAACAAAGGAGAGCATCTCAAGGGCTTGCTCTACCTCTCAGAATAACGATTTCTCAGATCAGTTATTGCCCACATCTTGCCAGGCTGGTAAATATAAAATCTGAATATTGGGCCTCAAATCAATTGGTCACAACTTGAAACAGCACATCATCCACAATAAATTTCTTCCTTTCTTTTTTTTTTTTGAGTTGGAGTCTCACTCTGTCACCCAGACTGGAGGGCAGTGGCCGCTCCTGGCCACCGCAGCCTCGACCCACTGGGCTCCGGTGATCCTTCCGCCTCAGCCTTCCGAGTAGCCGGAATTACAGGCGTGCGCTACCACGCCCAGCTGATTTTTTTTTTTATTTATTATAGCGATGAGGTCTCGCTGCCCAGGCGGGTCTCAAACCCGCGGGCTCAGGCAATCCACTCACCTCAGCCTCCCAAAGGCGCGGGATTACAGGCTGAGCCACCGAGCCCGGTTAAATTTATTTCTTACCATGTAGCTCAAATAGAAAAAAAATTTAAGAATACATTCAAAATTACTAAAAGATGATTTATTATTTACTTTCTAATAAAGAAATGGGATATCTCAATGTGTATGGTGGGATGGTGTGAAGTATTCCTCAAATTATTCAGGAATAGCATAAGGATCTAGTCATCACAGGCATCCTTCTCTCTGGTTCTACCGTGAAGCCTGACTCATCAAATATGGGACAGTCTGAACTCGGTGCATCACAAACACAAAAAGTACCCTTCCCTGACGTGGGCCAGTCACTGCAGAGTCTGACCAGCAGAGGAAATCATAGAGGCTTTTGCTTCTGGTGTCACTTTGTCCAGGGAACCACTCCATTGAAAAAGGTACTGGAAAGATGCTTTAGGGTTTGTCCCTGTTTAGATTTGCAAGTTCAATAGTCTGCTGACCTTCCCTGCGTTGTATTGAGCAGAGAGAAAAGTAGAATTGAGGAGAGGGCTGGGAGGAGAGGTGTGTCCGTATGGGGAGAATGTCATGGATTCAGGTGCAAAGATGCATGGATTTCACTTACCAAGAGAACATGTGGAGGATAGGCAAGGTTGGCCTTTTGTGCAGGTGCTCAGTTCAGGGTACATCAAGTGTCTAAGATGCATCACACAGGAGCGGAGGAAGATGTTTGAAAAGGTCAAAGCAGCACTTGTCACAAGTATTAGGGAGCTGAAGCATGGGGATGCCTCCTGCAGAGATTACTGAAGAAATAAAGTTTTTGAACTGCATGAAACAGACATGATTTGGAGGTTACTACACAAAGGTCATGATCACCAAGTGAAGGCTACAAGAAGATAAAATTTGGTATTTTATGATTTTATTCATTTTTCCCTACTATCTCCTTCTTGTGAAATAGAAGCAGAAAAGGAGGGTGGAATGAGTAATGAAAAAACACATGTGACCGCCCCAAATCAGCCTTTTGGGCTTATAACTGGGAACACTTGAGACAGGGAGGACAGATATGCTCAGATAGATATGGATTAAAGTTTTTAAACTAGAGTTGGCCAAAATTGAAATTTTCAACACTAAAACCACAGAACGGGTCTGAGTTCTGCCTGAGATGTAACGAGGAGAGGAAAAAAGAAAATTTATTAGAGCACATTTGGAGGCTGCGTTTGAAGAAAAAGTAATTTTATATTGCTTCTCACCCTACTGGAAGTATTCCATAATCAGTTCATCTATATTTCTAAGAAATGCTTGTCAAATGTGAATGGATTATGTAATAAATCAAGTTGAGAAGTGACTCGGTTAGTTATACACTAACTTGAAGAATTACTTAGACCATAACTTAGAGAACTATCAATTGCATGAAGTCGGTACTCACTGGTCTTCATTTGCAGTTTAACACTTTGATCCTGCTTTGTGTTTGGTTGCTTTTAGCTTCTAATCCAAAGAGACAAAGGTACAAAACATTTCACTCCCTTTCCTCTTATTAACAAACTTCTGAGTTTGTTTACTGCAATGACCACAGAGCATCATTTTCACATCTTTTTCCCACCTTGATTGTAATGAGCATTGTTTCACACTCACAGTCACTGGGGAGATGATTCACTTAGTGAACTTTCGCTTAATGAATGTCTTGGAGGAGTTCACAACCTGCAAACTAAAGACCAAGTGTAGAAATGATACTGAAAACTTCAGCTGATGTAAGACAATCAAAAGTTTTTCTCCAAATCTTGCCCTGGGTGTTAGAATCATAAACTTCTGGGAAACAGGACTTCAACCTACTCTTGATCTTATCTGATACAAATCCATTTACTGATGAGGGTCTTAGAAGCAAGATTGAAAGAATCATAATATATATGCAATAATTTCAGAGGCCTTGAAAATATCCTCCAATTACATCCCATCTCTTCACTGGGTGAGATGCTCTTTATTGACTCATTCCAAACATGAAAACATAAATTAAAATAGAATTCTCCAATAAGTTCAGATGGTAAAATAAAAAAATAGAATATTTAGAATTTTACAAGTATTGAAGAAGCGTTTTTCTCTACCTTGTAGAAGCTGTTGTCTTTCACCTGTATAGTACTCACCACAATCTGATCATAAATCTCTATTTCCTTGATTAATGTTTATTTCCCTTTCAAGATTACGTACTTCATGAGGATAGAGATCATACCTGTATAATTTATTATTTTATATCCAGCTGCTGGCATTCAATAAATAGTTGTTGAATAGATTAATTAGTTAATGAATACATCTCAAGATGACGAAAGGAGATATAATTTTGAGAAAAGAGAAGTTATTTCTCTTTTTCAAAATGGCAGGTATCAGTCGATACTCTCTTATTGCCTAGAACAGTGGTCTCAGTGGAGGAAGAGGAGTTGATTTTGCCTCAGAGTACATGTGACAATTATGGAGACATTTTTGATTCCACAATCAAGGATTTTACTGGCATATAGTAGCAAGGATGCTGCTAAACACCACGTGTTACACAGGTTGACTTCTCATGTCACTGTGTTACCTGAACTCAAATGTCAGTAGTGCGTGAGTTGAGAAAACCTGGTACAGGGTTTTGCTTATATATGTAATTGACATCATTTCATAAAAAAGACACTCAGAAAATGTTAGAAAGAATCTGAAAAAATATGTAGCTGAGAGTATTAATTTTATTGATTAGGAATCAGGTGGCCAGATACACTACATTATTCAACCTTCCTGGAGACACAAAAATGTCTCCATATGATGTCTTGAGAGGAGAACAGATCTCTTTTCTACTACACCTGAGAAATGTGCCTAAACACTATGGAGCTCTTTAGTGCTTTTATGCAGTATAGCTCATCAATTCTCAGTTGCTCTCACCACACATTTCAACTTATTGGCAGTCAATGCAGATGTAAAATGATTCTTAACAGGAGACAAAGAACCAAGTATTGACTCTTACTGCATGCACTCTATTTTATCTTTGTAACAAGAATCTAATGAAGTAACTAAGTCATGATTGGGAACAAGGGAATAGTTTCATCTATACACTAAGAAAATAGAAAGCTTTGGTTTAAGATACAAAATGGTAATCAAATTTAATTCAGAATAGAATCTTTCTTTTGTAGAATAACTTTCTTAGTAAATACTGTTGAAACTAATCTTTGGTTTACACCTTTCACTACAGGAATTCCATTGAGAAATTTTTCCCATGATGGCATTTATTTAGCTGAAAGAATCACATCCTTGAGGCAGTAATACAGGACAGACAACTTAGAGACAAAGCTAACAGGAGGTGATTCTTCAGCTTCACGATGACCTACCATTTTGGTGACTGTTGCATAGAGGAACTCGAGAGGTAAAAGTAAAACACAAAGAGATATTTATGACTAACAGGGAATTTTCACAAATTAAGAAAATGAGGCAGTTGCTAGTTGAATACAATCTACAGTAATCTCAAGCAATCTAATTTTCGTTAAATTTTAATTTATTATAAAAACCACTTGAAATTTGTAATAAAAATAGAAAATTGAAAAATTATATTAGAGAGAATATGCGATCATTTCCTCTGGCATACTGGTGATTTTTTTTTTTTCAGAGACACCTAAAATCAGAATTCTATATTCTTAGTGATAATCCAGAAAGACAGCACTCCACATAGAAACTAAAGCATCATGAGTAGCAACTCATCCCCAACTACAGCTGTGCAGCTGTGCCATGAGAATGTGATCGGGTCCTGCGTGAAAACCCCCTACTCAGCTGGATCCCAGATGATTCTGTATGCAGTGTTTGGTGTTGGGGCCATGCTGGCTGTGTTTGGAAATCTCCTGGTGATGATTGCAGTCCTTCATTTCAAGCAGCTGCACTCTTCAACCAATTTTCTCATTGCCTCTCTGGCCTGTGCTGGCTTCTTGGTGGGTGTGACTGTGATGCCCTTTAGCATGGTCAGGTCTGTGGAGAGCTGCTGGTACTTTGGGAGAAGTTTTTGTACCTTCCACACGTGCTTTGATGTGGCATTCTGTTACTCTTCTCTCTTCCACTTGTGCTTCATCTCCATCGACAGGTACATCGCTGTTACCGACCCTCTGGTCTATCCCACCAAGTTCACGGTGTCAGGGATCTGCATAACATCTCCTGGGTCCTGCCTCTCATGTACAGTAGTGCTGTGTTCTACACAGGTACCTATGATGTTGGGCTCGAGCAATTATTCAGTGCCCTCAACTCTGTAGGGGGTTGTCAGACAGTTATAAATCAAAATTGGGTGTTGATAAATAGATTATCCTTCTTTATACCTACCCTTGTCATGATAATTCTCTATGGTAGTATATTTCCTGTGGCTAGACAGCAGGCTAGAGAGATAGAAAATTCTGGGAACAAAACAGAATCATCCTCAGAGAGTTACGAAGCCAGAGTGGCCAAGAGAGAGAAAGGCAGCTAAAACCCTGGGGGTCACAGTGGTAGCATTTATGATTTCATGGCTACCATATAGTATTGATTTATTAATTGATACCTTTATGGGCTTTATAATCCCTGCCTATATCTATGAGATTTGCTGTTGGGGTGCTTTTTATAACTCAACTATGAATCCTTTGATTTACGCCTTATTTTACCCATGGTTTAGGAAGGCCATAAAACTTATTATGAGTGGTCAGGCTTTAAAGAACAGTTCAGCAACCATGAATTTGTTCTCTGAACATATGTAAACAATTGGACTGAGGAAGTTGAAAATACCTTCAAAATTTCTAAATGTAATGGGTTTTGGAAACTCATGTATGACTCAATGAAGAACAAATAAGTCCCTCTTGAACTGAAGCAGGATAAATCATTGTTTTTCAGTCTTGTTAAGATGTGCACTTCCCTGTCACGTCTCCAGAAATATTTTCTTGACTCTTGAATGTTGCATTTCTATTTGTTACCTGTTTCAGAGCTCAGCATACCAACTCCCTGTGACATTTTCTTTCCTTGCTTCCTCTTCTGATCTATTGACGCTTCCCTTTTTCCTGGTCTTAAGACTATCTTTGTTCGTCTTTGATTTCTTTCCCTCCTTTTCTTACAAAGCTTTCTACTGTTTCCTATCATGCCAAAAATTTCATTTGTGACTAGCCTTCACCAAGTTCTTGCTGCTTTGCTTTGCTTATTTTAACAAGGGAGCTTATTGAGCAGCAGTTTAATCTCTTCAGTATTGAGAAAGATCTTAGAGCGTGTGGAGCAATTTGCAAATGTAGACATCCCCTTGACTAGGCTATTTTGACTGTCAAAGAAGTTACTATCATCCTTTGTCATTATTTCCTGCCCCAAAGAAGGAAGCAGAAGCTGCTGTACTTCCCAGAATGAGGGTAAGTGATTATTTGGCTGCTGTTCTTGCTACTGCACAGAGCTGACTAAATGATTGGTATGAATCACACCCCATGTTACATTATTCAGTTCATACATATTAAATATTACGTATTCCTTTAGAGAGAATCTCTTCCGAGTACAGTCTTTAGTGCTCTGTCTTTTTCTATAGTAAAACTCAATGATATCAGGAAATTTGAACATTCTAGAAGCCATGTGAAATATGAAATATATATTAATCAAAAATATTCTGATATTTATTAATTTTCTTCACTTACCAAACATGAGGCCTATACCTATACTGTATTGAAATTAGTGCTAGATGACATAGTAAAGGTATAACATCCGATCTTTGTTTTTAATAAGTTGTGACTCCAGCATGAAGCAACATTGTTCACTGAAAAATTTAAAAAGGACAAACAGTGTCTCAACCAGGTGATTAAGGTTAACATCAGCAGTGATAAATCATGTTGCTTTCATGTGTCCTTGGCATTTTATAGTGAGCATAGCCTTTAACCTCTGTCATCTTCGTTTCCCAAAGCCATACCAATATAATCATGAGAAAAACATCAGACAAATCCTACTAAGGAATATTCTGCATAAAACCTGACCAGTACTGCTCAAAAACTGTCAAGACCATCACAAATAAGGAGAGTATGGGAAACTGCCATGTTCTAGAGGAACCTTAGAAAACATGACAACTAAATGAAATGTGATGTCCTAAATGGGAAGCTGGAACAGGAAAAAGACATTAGGGAAAATGAGAATCTCTGAATAATAAATGGAATTTTTATTGATACTTTAGTAATGTTCAATATTGGTTCATTAATTATAACAGATGCACCATACTAATTTAAGATGTTAATAATAAGAGAAACTGGATGCAGGTATATAGGAATTCTCTATATTATCCTTGTAATTTTTCTGTGACTCTAAAACTATTTCAAAATAAAATATTTATTTAAAAAATATAGGTGCTCATTCCTGCTTAAAGAATTTTCCATCCTGTCTATGTGAGGACAGCAAGGCATTTACCCTTATATTCATTAACTTATCTATTTTACAAATATCTTTGAAGACTTCGTTTGTACTACTTTCTGGGTTCAGAGCAATCAGGAATAGAAAACCAAGACCTTAACACATCTTGTGGATCAACCCAAAATATCGATAATTTTGACTTGGAATTCATGGGAGTTTAAACCATAAAAGATGTGTTTGAGGAGCAGAGAAGAAAGAAGAGTTCAGATACAGGTGGAAAAATCAGGGAGACATATTAAAGAAGGGGCATTTAAGTTGGGTTTTAAGTTATAAGAAGGGTTTTTGTAGAAGGGAAAGAATGAGGGGTTTCCTGGTTGAGGGAATAGCATCAGCAAAGAAACTGAGAAAAATGCAGTGTTTAGGGAATTTGGAGTTAAAATAAGTAAACAACTCTAAAGGAGTAGTCATCCTTTGAAACCTTGTCAAGATTGGCATTCAAAGCCCTGTACCTCTATTTCTTTTGATTCCTCCTTGGTGTCCTGCATTGGAGTTTGGACACATTCTTACCTCCACCCCTCTCAAGTTTCAACTTCCATAATTTTCATTATCTTCTTGGAAAACATTTTCCAAATGAAGTGTCATAAAACAGTTACCACATAACGTGCACCAGAGAAAATATGTTTTTAATTCAACAATGTTTTCAAATTGCTGTATAGCATATCCTGCTCTTAAAGAATAACACTGGCATATTAAAGACATTGAGAAGTCCTGCTTTAACAAAAACCTGTCCAATTTTGTTTAACTGTGCTTTCCAATTTTTTATTTAACCATGGAGACCTCTTTGGCATGGAGTGGAGTTGGGGGCTGAATAACACGACTATTGTCCAAACATTTATGTAGGAACCACTGGTCTATATTATTGATTTGGTACTTTCGAATGTACTTTTTTGTTTTGTGTTGGCCTTTTGGTCTTTTAATATATAATCTACTGTGCTTAATTTATACTTCTAAAGGATAGAGATGGTTTTCCAACCCATGATATAATAATGAGTAGGCACTCATGACATGTTTGCTGTCAATTATGATATATGAGGGGGGACCCCAAAACACCTGGGATGTATTTATGAAAAATTGTGCATTTATTCTTACACGTTTAAACTTCGGTCACCTTAAGAGCACTCTCCATTTGATGCAATACACCTATCAGGATGTTTTTTCCACTGTTCCAAACAGTTTTTGAACTCGTCAAATTTGATGCCTTTTAGTGTTTCTGCTGTTTTTTGTTTTATCTCTTCCACACTGGCAAAACTTTTCTCTTTGAGAACTTTTTTCATCCCAGGAAACCAAAAAATGTCACTGGGGTAAGATCAGGTGAATAGGGAGGGTGGGGTGGTGCAGACATCATGCCAGTTTTGGTCAAAAACTGCGAACACTCAGCACAGCATGGGCAGATGTACTTGAAAATCACCCATCATGAAATGGGCAGATGCACTGAATGAATCTCCAATATAAAATTCACAGAAGCCAAATGTAGCCTCTCGTAACAACACTAGCTGGTACACTGATGGCAATTGCTTCCTAGAACACTTACCTAGTGGGGGAAGCCCACACTACAAAGAGCCTGCCCTCCAAATGATAACTGTGTTTGGGTGCTCCCTCATATAAGATAAATTAATATGTAAAATAAGACAAATGTGACTTTGAATTGGTGGAATGAGAAATCTGGGAAGGTTCCATGGAGAATTCGGAATATAACATCAGTAGTAGAGCACTTTTAATAGAGTTTCAATAGAAAAAAAGTAGAAAGTGAATTTCTAGGCAGAGTAAAAATTTCATGAAACACAATTAAGCACACAGAAAGGATAGTCAATAGACTGTGTAAAGCAGAGCATTTGGGTAAGAGAGTCATAATCCATCAATATATCAAGATATTATTTTAGGCCGTGTATCTGCACTCTCCAGTATGGTAGCCATTGACAACACATACTTACTGAGTTCCTAAAGTGTGGCCAGTCAGAAATGAGGTATGTGTAAGTAGAAGATGCGTATCAGGGCTGGGTTCGGTGGCTCAGCCTGTAATCCCAGCACTTTGGGAAGCCAAGGTGATTCCATGATTCCATCTTTCCAGCAGGAGACCTCTTCCAGGCCTCAGCCTGAAAGGACGTATGATCACTTCAACCTATTAGCCAGAACCAAGCAGACGGCCCTCTTAATGACTGGGAAAAAGTAGGGGAGCCGTAGAATGCTCGCTGCCCACTGTGGCCTCTTCCAAACACCTGCTAGTGAATGGCACGTCACACTGTGTGTTACGGTGTATCTGTCAGTGTTAACTGGGCAGCAAATGGTTTAAATACATGAGGCTTTATTTTACTTCAGTAATACTAAGTCTAAATGAGGTAGCTGCTGGCTTTGGCTAGGTGATTCAAGGATTTTAGAATAGAGGATGCTGTGATTTTCCTGATACTTCTTGAATGGTTCCAAAAAGGTTACCGATTTCCAGCCAAATTTCACGTGTTCTTAGAAGCAGGGAGGAGCAGGAACGGGGAGGGAGGAGGGTCTTTCCTGGAGCCCTACTCAACAATTTCATCTGCTTTGAGGGAGGGAAGTTTCTGATCCTGGGAGGGAAAGACAAAATGGTTAACAGGTGAGCAATAACCATTTCTGCCACATGAAGTAACTTGTAAATAAAATCTAACTAGGGAAAATAATTTTTTAAATCAAATCCTTTCAAAGGTGTTTGCTCCATACATCCATAAGGAAAAAAGTGAACTGAGAAAAAGAGAAAAGGGAAAAAAACCAAGGTTTTCTCAGAGACCTCTCTGCCATCTTTTTCTTACATTCCTCCTTTAGTAGTATTTAGTATTTTGTTTCAGTCAATGAACACGTATTAGATATAGGTCATGTAGAAAGTTTTCTGTTGGCAATGCAGAAACCATGAGAGTGGGTGACACCCAGACACTTCAATAGAGTTTTCAATACTCCTCCAAAGACTGTGGAGACAACAAAGCCAGACAGTCAGTCTTATTTTGGGACATAGACATCTTGTGGGAATGCACACAGAACGTCAGCACCAAGGACAGGGTCCCCAGCATTGGCAATGGCCTGGTGGTTAACAGTTTCTGAACAATCAGTGGAAGCACAAAAAGTTAACCAGCCTATCCTAGAACAATTACAATTTCATCAGTAGGGCTGCTCTCAGACGGACATTAGGAGTCACCATGCAGAGTTAGGAGATGGAGAGCAGAGGATGCTGTGGTTAATGCTAGCCACAGCTGAAAACACACACACACACACACACACACACACACACACACACACACACACACCTGGTCCTGCAGACACCTGGCCAGACCCGGCAACAGAACTGTTTTTTTGGTCTGTGATGAGTTCA